TTTTCAGACTTTTTTCATCTTGTATTTATTATTCTCATTGATTTGCAATATATCTTTATTGGTTTATTTATTTCCTCTTATTCTTCTTATTCTTCTTATGAAGTTTCAAATAGCAGATGGTATTGTATCTCAATCCTCAAGGTAAGTTGTACTGCCTTACTATTTTGCTCGGATCATTATTCCAGTACAATATGTAGTAAACATATATTCAGCGGAATAAACATCCGTAGAATTTAACCGAGATGATAGCTACCCCACTCAGTTTAAGAGAACGACTTGTCTATCACCTTCAAGAGTTATATCTCGTTTATTACATAGGATAGAATATATGAAGGTTGCGAGAGTGACATGGCATGAGAGACTTTCTTGCCGGTTGGGTAGTTTTGCATGGTATGCCACTTGGATGTATGTACTTCTGGATGTGCGTGTGATCTCTTTATGCTGTTGGGGGTTAGTCGTGACATTTAGTAGAGTAGTTTATCTCTTACTTGGTTGGTTTGAGACTTGATCTCGCTCTTGTGGTGGGGTTCGTTCTACCTCTTTAGATGGTTATACACGTTCGCAAAAACAGACCTCTATCGGCTCTACGTCATATCGTATCACCAAGTCAAAAGCGTATATGGACAGGTGTGAATTTGTGCAAATATCTATGCTACCATTGCTATTGCTATCCATATCATATGAACCCGATATACAATACAAACGAACTGAAACTTAGCCCAACTCCGCCCCTCGAGCGATTCTCATAATATCATAGAACATAGGGTATCGTGTATCAATCATCAGTTGGCCAAAATGGTGCGAACGAGGTCTAGATTTGCACGCATTAGTTCGGTCCCTATGACTGTACCTGGGGATTCAGTAACCTACCGGTGTAGTTAATCTCACCCGAGCTGGTATCAACCGCCTTGAGAAGTTCATCGACCTCCTCGTCCGACATCTTCTCGCCCAAGTTCGTCAGAACTGTCCATGGTTAGCATCTTGGTCGGCTTGCACCACATCCTGCCATCTTAATACGTACTGTATCGAAGCTGACCAACCCCGATAAACCCGGTCATATCCTTATCGAACACCTGGAATCCGCGGCAGTATTCCTCAGCTTCACCTGGGTCGCGGAAGCCGCCTGGACGGTTGAGGACCTTCACGAAAGAGTCGAAGTCGACTATGCGCATGTGACTCGTTAGATTTTGTTTTCCTTATACACTAAGATCGAGACAAGGTAAGGATAGACATACAGTCTCCGCCGAGGCTCTTCTCTAGATCGGCGATCTCAGCGAGAGTGGGATTTTGGCCGCATGCGCGCAGGAGGTCACCGAGAGACTCCAGGGAGACCTTGCCGGTTCCGCGCTTGTCGAAAAGGGAGAACGCTTCTTTGTAGTTGGTGGAGGCCTGGTCGTCATGGTTATTGTGTGAGCCAGTCATTTTGAACGCCAAATGCGATATTCAACCAAAGAAAAGATTCCAAGCACAGGGTGACGGATGAGGGAGATGGAAAATCCAGGTATAATGGGGAGAATGAGGAGGGGAAGATTGTTGATGGAATGGGTCGGAAGAGGGCGAACCAGGGAATGCGCAAGAGGTTGAGGGGCGGCAATTCAATCCAATCGATTCATTGGGGACCGAGTGAGATCTCGCCCCGGATCCAGTAGGAGGTAAACAATCACTTTCTGCAAGCTCTTGAGGCATCCTCCTTCGCCTCGCTGGCCATGTTTCTCTTGCCACTATTCCAAGGGATTGCAGAGCAACAATCAGACGGGGCCACGTACCATCTTCTCGATTTGTTGTTATGGAGCGCTTGTGAGGGTGATTCCGGAAATGGTATAGAGTTGTGTGGATTGCTGCGAGGGGGGATGAATGAAGGCAGGGATGGTTGTAATGGAGAATTGACGGTTGACCAGCACGTCAAAAGCCAGAGAGTTACCAAGGAACAGATTGGACTGGAATGTTGATAAGAGTGAAAAGGCGGGATGGAGAATAGGAGAAAGTGGAGTGTCCGTTGTTGTGGTAACCGTTACCTTATTGGGAACCCAGACCCTTCCCCATTTGGGACGTCATTCCAGATCGAGTCGAAGACAACAAAAAGATATCATGTGATTCCTTCATACCGCAGGACTCTTGCTCAATACTAGTAGACAAGTCTATTCCAAAACTCAGAGCTACTCTCCAAGAACCTTGAATCATACAGTTATAGCATGCAGAAGACAACGCTTATCCCATTGGTATCACCGCATAATCATAACCCATGAACAGACCAAAACAAAAAAAAAAAAAAAAAAGAAGTATATGTACATAACACAAATTGAGAAGGATATCAACCAGCTCCCAAAGACAGAACAAAACACCCCCTTGAAGCCCGTACGTACACAGGAAAGAGTCGAATATGTATAAGAAACCCCGGGAAATGTACCAATGCTTATCGGCCCTTCAACTTCTCAATACAACTGCTCAACAACTTGGCCGCCTCCGCCAACAGCTCCCATCGCGTGTTGACAAACCCATCCCGCAGAATCATCAACATCCCCAGACACTGGTTACGGCCCTCCATTGCTTCCAGGTCGTTAGGTGAACGCACACCTCCCACCCGTCGGAGATACTCTTGCATATCACGGCGCTGCTCCGCCACCGTGGCTAGCTTCGGCGGAGAGCGAATCGGGCCCTCCAGAGCGTATCCATAGCACCAGACAACCAATGCCGCAACGTAAATCACCCATGGTCGGTTCAGAAGATAGTCATCCCGTCCTGAGTAAAGCTCCCCTTCCTCCGACTCGCCGCTCAGCAAACACTCGGAGAGAAACTTGAGGGCGTAGAAAGTCGCGTCTCGCGCTGACGCCTTTGTAGCCCATCGCTCGGTCATCTTCTCACGCGCGGCATTGTAGTCCCTGGCAGTAATAGCCCTTCCCATGAGTCGGGTGGCACCGCCGAGGATTTGGCAGTCGACGATGTCGACGTGCGACGCCATGTGAGCAAGGCCGTGCAGCACGTCGCGGGATTCAAAGACGTTGTCATCATCGAGTGGATGCTGAACCCGATACCCCGGGAAAGGTGGCGGTGTCCCAGCTTGTCCCAACGCTTCGTCGAAATCTCGTCGCCAATTATCAAAGGCCCGCAGTAGCGCAGCTCGCCATTTATCTCGACCACCCAGTGCCTGAGGAACTCCCAAAGAACTGACTTGGAGATCTCGCTGGTTCATATGCCAACTGACGCTGAGGAGACCCGCCATGAGAATAGTCCTTCCGAAGGCATTAGTCCGGACTCGTTGCCCATTAAGTGTCCGTTTGAGGCCATCCAGAAACATGACCGGCTTCACCCCGTTAGCATGGAGGCTAGCCTGCACACGCGCCACTTCGGCAGCACTTGTCGCTGACCACAAAGCCTCATCGCAGGGCAAGGGTAGCCGAAGCTCATGCGCGACCATCTTAGCTGAGTGGCCGAACATGGTGGCATGGGTGGAGTCCAAAACGAATGCGGCGAACGCCACTCGCCGGGTAGCCTCCGCTTTGATCCAGTGCGTCCACGATTCATCCGCAGAGAAGTCCTGTGTCGTCGTCGAACAGGATACCGACCGGGCCTGCCGGTCGTCTCTCAAACTCGCGGGCGAATCGAACGCGGAACGTCCAATCAAAGAGCTGCCGCGACGCATCAGGGTCAGAGTGGTATCATGGTGAATATGAGCTCGTTCATGTAACGCACGAGTAGAGTACATCTTTTCGTAAACCTCGAGCAGCAAGAGGGCCTGGAAGACCCACAGTTTGGCAGGTGGCCGGAAATCAGCGTCCATGAAGAGCTCCCACCTAAGGTGCCACACAATGAAGTCTGCCAGCTCGGATGCTGCTTCGGTTAACTCCGGACCATGAATCTTGTCTAGCGTGGATGCGCCAATGGCTATAACGATCAGGAGAAGCAAGTTTGGCGCCTGGTCGGCGAAAAAGGTGGGCCGATGCAGGATGGGCAGCTGAGAATGGAAGTGATACCAGTACGATCCAATGTACGTCTGCATCATGCGCAAGCTCAAAACGTGGTTGTCATCATCCATATCACCATCCATTAGAGCATCCTTGCGCTTGGCCACTGCCGAGTAGGCGGCTTCATTAAAGCGGGTCGCCATGAGATGAAGTAGTTCCTGCCGCTTTTCCTCCGATATAATGGCGCGGGGTGAACCGGGGTCCAGAATACTAGTAACGCTCATGGGATGGTGGGGCGGGATTACGCCGCTCAAAAACGTCCCATAAGCCGGATCACCCAACAAGAATTGATTCTGCAGTTGCGTAGGGTCCATGTAATTCGGCATCATGCCGGTCGCTGCAGGGTAGCTCATAGACGACGATCCGGGAACGGGTTCATTAAAAAGCCATGCCGTAAAATCTTCCGCCATAGCAAAAGGGGATCTATTGTATGATTCGCTGCCAAAGATCGGGTAGACACAGTTGGCCAACGAATCAAAGCCAGGGTCCCCAACTGTCGAGCCGGGAGCTATCATTCCCGACATCGCATCAAGAGTGCCCATGTTGGCTGTTTGGTCAAGAGTCGCCGGTGTAGAAGTTGTTGCGGGGGCCAGAGAAAGACTTGAGTAACCATTCACGGGCATTTGCATACCAGCCTGGGAGGTAAATGGTACAGTATCAGCCAGAGACGACCCATTGGCATCTGTTGGCAGTGATGAGTAGGCTCCATCAGCACCTTGGGATTGTGTGGCGGATGTCTGACCAGGATGCGACTGTGCGTCATGATGGATTTCACTGATGGAAGTACTTGTCGGGTGATGGTTGCTCAACGCTCCATATGACGTTTTATGTAGTTCCGAGGGACTGTAACTAGTCGGTACTGGAGGGGAGCTTTTCCCATGAGTGCTTAAGCTATTTGACCGGGGGAAAGTGTTTTCATTCTGTGATGGTAGTATATGATGTTGGTAGCTAAATACGGAGTTCAGGCCGACAGAGGGAGATGATGACGACGAAGGAGATATTGGAACAACTCCGTTAGACTGAGCACTTGGCATTTGCGTAGGGATGGATGGAGGTGTGACGACAGTCGCTTGGCTGACGTGAGGTACATGATGTGGGCTCTGAGGCTGGTTGGAAGCAGCTTGCGCAAAATGATCGCGTTTTTGGAGTTGAGAGCCCTGGGTGGTGTGACGTTCACGGTGTCGAATGCAGAGGTCTTGTCGAACGAAGGAGCGGTAGCAATCAGGGAAATCGCATCGATATATTTGCTTAGGAGTATCTGAGCCAACAAAGAGATCAGTCAGCGATCACTTCTTTTGATAACCGTTGTGGTGTGGGGTTTTCACTTACGGTTCAGTTGATGCCGGTATAGATGCTCCGCACGCGAATAGCTTTTCCCACACCCTTCGTGTGTACATTCAAACTTACGGTCTGTGTTGACCTTTCGAACCCTCTTCCTTTTTTTCGGGGCGCCATTGACAGTGATTGTATCGTTATCCATGATCTCAACTTCTCGTTCTCTGCGGATGCCTTTTGGCCCTTGGTCTAGACCACTGATTGTACCAATCGCCAAGGTCATCTTCAGTCGGTCCAACCGAGAAGTACTGAAATATTCACGGCCGTCCGTGCTTCCTTGACTTCCCGGTCGCCCAAAACGCACAAGACGTTGACCTGCGGCGAACGGAGAGTTACCGAACACGCCGGGGCATCAGACCGGGCGATGATGGCCCGAGTCCGGGTGGAATGGAGGCGAATATGAGGTTTCACGGAGAGGTTAACAAGCAGAGGAAATTTGCCATGGACACGGAATAGATTAAAGGGTCGTCTTTCTTGCCCGGGAGTAAAGTTGCGAAGGATAGCGGCGGCGCAAGGACGAGTTGAGTAAAAACCCCGTGGGGAAAATCGTGTGGACGGAAAGCCGAAGCGTTCCCGAGACGGCTGGCCAGAGAAAAGGATTGTCTCCGAGCTGAAAACTCTACTCCGACCGAGATCTCAGAGCGAACTTCGCCGGTAGAAAATCCGGAAGCACAGTGTCGAAATGGAAGAGAGAGAGAGAGAGGAAGAGATCGCAGAGGGGTGGTATGATCGCTAGGAGCGATATGGGATAATAATTGGAGAAGGTAAAAGGCGGAGAGGGAGAGAGACCGCACGACAAAGTTTGAAAAGAGGGGAAGGCGATAGGAAATATATAAAAGTACACTTTTTGTACTGTAACAGTCAGATCGGTCGTATGCAGTACCTCCTCAGTACTAGTACTGCTTCCCAACAGAATGGGCGGCGACTGACGAGTTCATATAGAGTATTGAGCGACTGAAGGATTCAATTAAATCAGTCCAATTGATTCATGAAAAATAGAGAAATTAGAATAAAAATAAAATAAAAATAAAAATGAGAACAATTTTCTATCTCGTATAAGGATAGCCACTACCATTTCCATGACTCCAAGGCAAGTGGGGTATCTACTTCCTTTAGGCTCTGAACATGTTATTATTGTCTAGTTCTTTTCGTGGTCAGTCGGCATTTCATGCATCAAGTGGATTCTATCTACTATCCCAGCGAAATGAATATCAACCCTCATCGCTAATCTTTCCCCATCTCCGCTTTCTTTTCTTTTTTCCCTCCAGCACTAGAACGTGTTTTAAGTTCCAGTTTCGCGACTATCCCGGCTTTGATATGTAAATCAAACAGCGGGAAATCACCAAGTGTCAAAGGAAAAAGCAATCAAACTGCCAATCACTTCTCAGAAGGGAAGATGAGAGGGTATCGTGGGTGTTGCGCGTCCTTTCCTGTCTACTAGAGGTGGCCTTGTTTCGTCTGTTGAAGCGGGTAAAGAGGAGATCGTGCATGGGTAGAAAGGACGATCGTCATGAGATTAAGATCGATTACGATTAAGGATTTAATTAATTCATGTAAGAAGAACTGCACCGAAGTATTACAGAATGCAACTAGAATCTTAGCCAGCCAGTCAGAGGCAGTCGGTTTCAGCTGACATGACATGCTGTACCCTACTCTAAAAACTATCGTGCATCCTCCCCAAAATCATAGTAGAGCCATTCTATAGGTACTATCCTGACGCATTACCTGCCAAAAAATTTCCACTCCATCGGAAGAAGGGTTGAGAATGATATTTAGGGTTTGGAAACCTTGTGACTGACAGACGACACGGTGCCTGACATTCCGGGTGGAGACATATCGATGGACACTGTCGAAACACTACCATACTAACCATTCTGAGATCTGCTTCGGGACACATGCAGCCTGCGACTAAGAATCCTCATCGTTTGCGCTCGAGGACGGTGAAATAGACGCGGTTAATGCGGATAATTGTGGTCAAGTGAGCATGGATGGGACCATCTTCCCGTTCCATCCTTTCGTTGGTGGGCTAACAATAGCAGTTATTCGTTGATAACTTGGACCAAACTGACTCACTAGCCTCGTAGTGGCGCTCCCTCGAGAAGTAAAACAAGCGATCAATGCTTTCCAACTCCCATTGTGGGCCTGTTGATTGCCTATATGGCGGGGTTGATCTGCATTCCAAGATGATATTTAGTGCGTGTTGTTGTGGCTGAAAAGAAAAATACCGGTGTAGATCTACACACTGAAATCCCTCATGCGCGGAAGAAAACGAGTAAAGCAGATGCTTGAGGAGAAGTGCATGAGTACTTTGGCCAGGCGTTGAGGTCCGCGGAAGAAGATCAACACGGCTTGTTGGGAGCCTATATTGCTTTTTCCTTCAGCCTCGCACCTCGCTTCCTAAAAAAAAAGGCAACCTAGCAATGATCCCCAGCCTAGATTTCTGTTTTTGACGGTTAACCCGGTATAAGAATAATCAATTATAATTTTTCGCCGAAGTATATCGTAAGTAGAATAATTAATTTAGGAACCGAAAATACCTGAAACCGCTAAGGTGTTCTTGACTCAAGACGATCGCTCACTGGTACCTGATGATCCCAGCGCATGAACCATCCTCCGCTCGAATGGGGACCACTGATGATCTATCTGATAAGGAGATCAGTGAGATGTCTCCGTGGTAAAGACATATTAGGCAGGATCCGAGGTAGGTACGTAACTGATATGCATATATATTGTCCGTTTGCATCTGACACATACGACTCTGGGCGACAAAATTAGTTCTTGACAAAGTATCTGTAGCCCGTACCAGCGCCCCGGTACATACTTTAACGTTAATAACATAAACGAGCACACCATGTTACAGGTATCATACTGAAGGCTCTTGCAGACAATAGTAGGCAAACTAGTATGTAGCCATATCATGTGCCCCCTTACCTGTCTTTCGGAGTTACCTGTCAAACGTATTCCCCCATAGCACTGTCCTATGGCTCGAAAGCACGTTGTAGGAATTTTTCATTAGCCAGTCAGTCCACATCGGGAAGAGAGGGTGTAAAAAATAGAAAAAAGAAAAGGGAAATGACAGCAGATCGCAGAAAGGCAAATCTCCCAACCAGCACCGCCATTGAGCAGCGTCCTCCAGACCCATACTACTACTTTCCATGAAAAATCACAAGCTAATTCAATCCCGGTTAACCCCAATGCGAAGTTCGAACACCTACGCATCAGGAGATCGCCATGCCGAATCAATCCACAATATCGCCCCCAGTCCTAGTTCACCAGCCACCTCGCGTTGGTCTACCTAGTCTCCAACCCCAACCAGGATGCCTACATTTGCTCGGCCTGCTTATCCTACTTTCCCGTACTTAGCGGGTACCCGCCCCGAACTCGGGCGATAGAAAATGATAGACCTGATGATCACCCGACTGGGTACCTGGTGTTAGCATGCTTGCCTAGTCTGGAGCCGGCTGTTCTCTAGGCTAGAGATGAGGCTGCTGGGGAATTGTTGAGATCGTACAAGATGCTTGTGTATTTCGGAATTAGCTCGTTCACTTTCGCTAAGGGGTCTCGTGCCGAGTGCTTTTCGACTCCTGCATAAGCCTCAGCCTGGCGATCCTTTCCCCAGGGTTAACAAGTTGAGGTATTTCGATCATTGGCCCAGAGTCTATGTTGAGTTGCACCACTCTGATGTATAGGTGAGTTTTCTGGGATGGTAATTATCAGAGACGTGCGTCATTTTTCTTCTCTTGACGCAGCCTATACATTGTTCCCTGGAAATCTCACCCAAGGCGTACCATTTACGCGGCTCTGTCTGAAACAAGACTATTGACTGCATCTAGGGAGAAATGAATCATGTATACTAATGCCAATTACTTGAAGGGGAAAGGTTGCGTTCATCATAATATGAAAGTGGCTAGAGACAGCTCACCAATCATTTGAGATGTATATTTGCCCCAGACTGGTCAGCATTATAATGGAGATGACCTCATTGGTGATCGTGATCGGTCATGGTCAACGCATTTCTTTTCATTGGTGATCTCGAACTTGAAGGAAGATCCCATGCATAAGGTCAGTTGGTCTTTTACCAACTAGTTGTGTTTCAGGATATGATTAGGATATGCCATGTGCTCTTGTTGAACCCGATACCAGAGCTTCTTTTTACTGGTAGACAGAAAGCGTAAACTTGCCATACCATTCCATGTCTACCTCTTCCAATCATGAATTTTGACTATTGTACTGATGTATTACAATGGGCTATTGCGAGTGTATCGCTGTCCCAGACCCAGTGACTGCGAGATCATCCATCAAGCGTCATGCGAAAGGACCGCATGAACTAAATATAAACATATACAGGTACTGGAGTAATCTATGGTTTGTATTTTTCTTAGTCGAGGGGGTTGCTTCTCAACGCTTCGTGTACTGTATTGCTTGCTGATCCCATGGAGTGCACTAAATTGCATGGATTGGCATTTCCCCCCAATCCGCCACAGGGGCCAATCATGGGTGGGCGATGGGCATCCCCCAGTCCCGACCTCCTCAGCTGAGCTGTTTTTGACTTGTTGAGTCCTGGTCGATGAAGAACTTATCCGCTAAACCGAAACCGGGTGGCCTCCAACCGGCCCAACCCTTCTCGGGGTGCCACATTTCGTCGCCGATAGGAATTCGTAAAGTCTGCGGTTGTTAGCTTGAGGGAACCAACACTAAAAGAAAGAAGAAGAGGCGAGGAAAAAGGGTAAGACAAGTGTTACCTTGTAGAAGAGTACGGATTTTGCGGATTTCTCCAGATTGTACCCGGTCGGATATCCCCTTTAACAGCCGCTCGGCCTCACCAGCCTTTATCGTACCCGCTGGCAACATCTGGAGAGTAGATTGGAACCAAGCCCCGGCCTCCTGTGGCATCAAGTCGAAGAGTGACATCATCACACCGGACGCATCTGGGAAACATTCTGCGGGGAACGAGAACAACATTCCTGTTAGAATTCGCTGCGAAAGCACTTGTCCCTGAGAAGCAATCAACTGTTTGACTGCCTCGCGAATTTCTGGAGGATTCATATACGGATCTCCATCAGAGGTGGTGAACTCGGACACTGCGGGCTTTTCGAAAGCGAAGCTAAACAGGTCATGGTAATAATGTAATGTGGCAATAAGAGGGTCGATCTGCTGCAAAGTAAGGGCGCTCAGGGCTGCAGAGAAGATCGGCACAGAGAGGGATGAGGTGATGCACTCTTTGGGATAGTACCGAACAGCATCTGAAGAAAGACGATAGAAGTCCTCAATTACTGTTATGGATGATTGTGATCAGCAAAGGACAAAAAAAAAAAAAAAGAAGAAATATAGAAAAAGAGCAGGTTCGTCTAGCGCTTACCGTCAGGCAGGTTCTCGGGGGGCAAGTCATTGAGAATACGCAAGAAGGCGATCGCCTGTTGCTCGTAAAATTGGAAGACGGCACGACTCGTGCCTGGGTCGACGAGATCAGCACCTTCGGAAAATTCCCGCACGACTGCATCAGTTGCCCACAAGAAGCATCCTTCTCGTGAAGCTTGGAATCCATTTGCGAGGCTCTCTGCTAGTGTAGGCAATAATGGAATCATGGCTGTTCGGTAGGAGATAAGCATATTCCTCCAGCAGCGGCACACTCGCTCCAGAATGGGAGTAGATGAAGTAAAGTTCATGACAATAGTGGTCATGATGGGCAAGACCTCGCCACAATATTTGACAGCGGGATTTTCCTCGCGGGGTGAAACATAAGGATTCACTACTAGTACGAAGATCGTAATCAATTGGAGATGGTCTGTGGTGAGAAAATTAGCAGGCCGATTTCCATGAATATCCGTGAATACGTACCAGCGACAGCCCGTTGGCCCTGTTCGTCCTTCGCATTGTTTGCCAAGTTCATGATTCTAGCCATGATCGGGTCGCAGAACATTTTCATCGTCTCATAGATCTTCTCAAGTGGCTGTACTGCAACCACAGCAGCCACACCCTCAGTCACCTCTTCTTGACTTGCTGGCTTCAACTTATCAATAACAGACTCATAGAACGAATGGAGTTGAGCAATGTGTCCGCCGAGCAGTTTTTGACAGTCAGTACCCAGGAACTTGAAAGCCAGAGCTGCGGCCTGAACAACTTCCGGGGAGCTGTGCTGAAACCCAGAAATAACATAGTTCAGCTGTGCCTCAAGAGTTTCCGGGTGCTGTGCTGTCCATTCCGTATAGCGGGCCAGGGCCATGATGGCCTGGAATCGAACCTTCTCTTGGTTCGGTATTTGTGTTATGAGAGGAATTACCTGCGGGAGAACCTGGCTTTCTTCAGGGTCAACCATGCGGCCCATAGCTCTCAAGCTGAAGAGCGGGGCTTCAAGCTCTTGCCAATTTGGAACATGTTCATCGCTAGCCTGAGAAGCGTATTTGGAAATCCACTGCTGGATTAACTGATACGCCTTGGTCAGACATTCCGTCACTCCGATCACAGCACAGCAGTCTTTGAGCACATCTCCCATAGAGTGTCGGTAGTGACGAAATTTCTCTTCCTGTTCCCGGTCCCCGCCAAACAAATCGGTCTCACCCTCTTCTGGGCGGGGGTACTCAAGATGCTTGACCATAACATCCACCAGCTTGGAGAAGACATCACTGTAGCTTACCCGTGCATCGGCATACCTCTCCAGCGTGACATACTGCTTCAACTCATACCAAAAAACGAAAGTTAGTGAAACGGCGTCGTGTTCCCAGTCTCGTGCGCAGCATTCTAGGACAGCTTCTACGAGGCCCCGGAAATCGGATGGTAAGCGGGCGATCAGCACAACCCAAGCCTCACCAGCCTCCGCAAAAAGCCTGGTAATGCCTTTGAATGCATCCGTATCCTCGGTCTCCGCAGCCTCGGCGATCTTTGGACGAAGGGACATTAGGCGCGGATACAAGGTCTGTATAATCGGCAGTGAGTCGTCCACCTCCCGAGTATCCCTATACAGGGTGCAAACACTCTCCACTGCGGCTTCAAATGACACGTCATCGTCAAGTGCCTTGAGAATGACATCCAACAAGGGCGATTCGACAATCTTCGAGGCAGGGATCTCGCGCATCCAAGATGTGATGCAGTCCAGGAGACGAGGATTGGTAGATGCAGTTGCTAAAATCGGTATAAACTTTAGCACATGTGTGAATTTGGGTCGCGAAGGATATTAAGGAATGTGTACATACGTGATGACTGAGCATACTGAATTAGAAGGTGCATCACTTGCTCTGCATTATCTTCCAAGAGTTCTTTCGTCCTGAGGATGAGGTCGTCTTCCTATTAAGGTCATATGTTAGAGTTTGATCATTGAATCGCACGAAGCAGAGCCGTTGCTGATTGCGTGGAAGATAGGTAGGTAGGTGGGATAGTGTTTGTCCGAACATACACTTAGATTGATTTTGCGACCTTCTGTAACTTCTTCTGGAAGGATTCTCAGGAATTCCAACACGCAATCACCAGCATTACTTCCTAATGCAGAGCCGACAGTAGCGAGGACATCCTTCCACCCAGTCATCTGAATGGCGAGGCTCGCCAAACATACGCATAGTTGTGTCTGAATGGGGCGGGGGCCCGATGCAAAGGCGACGAGAAGATTCATCACCGAGTCCCTTAGAGCGGGTACAGACTCTGCGGGCAGCTGGTCCAGATCGAACATGATCTACAACAATCAGCATCCGGGTACTTCTTCCATTGGCCATGGATCGTTTCACCTTTCCTTTCAGCGTGGTCGCAGCGAACAACTTGGCCTCGACAGGAACATCGGGAGACTGCAATAATTCATGGGTAATTGTCCAGGCTTCAACCTAGAGTACGATTCCAGGTTTGTTAGTAAGAGCACATTGGGCTGAGGCGAACTGGTACGGAGAAGGGGTGAGGGGTCGGGGGTAACGGACTGATTTCTGGAATTTCTCGAGAAACTCATGAGCATGCGCCTTATCGGTTCTGGAAACATTTCCCTGCATTGTAGCGACCGCAGCTAGAACAGGGCCAAAGGCCTGTCCTGCGGTTCCCTCTTTGCTGGCCATCGTTGATTGGAGTGGGATGTTTTGGTTGAGGGAGAAGAAGAAACGGAGATGAGGGGTTAGCCAGGCCGGAGGCTTAACACCTATGGAGTACGGTCATGAATACTCATTAAATAACCCCTGAAGAATGTATGCAAGGAGAGGCCCAGGCACGAGAAAAATCATTCAACAGTGGTGGATGGGGAAATCGGGTGAATGACCTTATAGTAGAAGTGGGATGTGGTGACGCCTGAACCCAAAGGGAAAAGTTGGTGAGCCGCAGCGAAGTCCCGAAGCGGTTTGAATCCGCCAGAGTTAAGCTCTCTCTCTTCCTTCTCTCACCTTGCCCGCCAGCACTAAACCAACCTCCAACATCCGCGCAAACCATCATATTAGCTTTTTACCAGTCGCTTGAGTACGGCTCATCGATCGCTCCTCCTATTTGAACCCGTCCCTTATTTCACTCATCGCGTATCATCATGGCTGGTCGTGGAGGCGGTGGAGGTGGTCGCAAGACCTTGCTCGCGCCGATTCATTTTATTTTCAAGCTTCTTCAACAACGCTCCACCGTTTCTATTTGGCTCTATGAGCAATTGGCTTTTCGTATAGAAGGCAAGATTAGGGTATGTGGTCGTATATGAACAAAAACCGCGATAACTGGGCTGATTTGATCAGGGATTCGATGAGTTCATGAATCTCGTCGTTGATGATGCGGTGGAGGTCAGGCTGGCTACAAAGACCGAAGAAGAGAAGCGCCGGCCTCTAGGTATGGAGTTAATTTCTATATCTGTCTTTACCTAGCAGTTAGTGGGCTAACTAGATTTCTCGTGTAGGCCAAATCCTACTTAAGGGAGATAACGTCTCACTCATTCAAGCCGTTCAGTGATCATAGGGGCCGTAGGAAGCATACGGAAAAGAAATTTCAAAATTTTTTTGCCAGGCTACGACAATATCTATTTCTCTTTAATCATGTCTTTTTACGGGTTGCCGCTGGGAGACACTCTTGCACATCAATTAAATACACGGAGTCCTGACACGAGAGGGAATTCTTTTTTGGGCTACAAATTAGTGGTGACGGACGAAGCACCCATTGTCGCCAACGATGAGAACATCTACTGGCCAGTCATGGTTTGCAACGGGTATCTGTTCGGTCGAGGGCAAAGTTTGCTCCTTGAGAGAGAGGGCAACTGGGCGAAGGTTAGGCAAGAATAAAAAAGCTGTGCTTCTTCATGCGTTGGGAGGGCTCTCACCAAGTAAAGGCATTTTTGGCGTCGTTGTCTTACTCTCAACCTCTTTGGAGTACCTAGTTAGAAAATGATCATAATATCCTTTACCATGACCCAGCCTCCTAAATTCGTGGTCGAAGGCCATTCCTGGCATGACAATCAGATCTAGTCCCCAGTTTCCATCTGCAGTCTTATCGGATCCTGAGGGGGAGACTCCAAGGCCGCCGAGGCAGTTCTTTCTTGTACCAACTTGACTTTTCGCGAGAGATGGGATTCCCCATTTGTCGGGGGCGAGAGAATTGAACTCTTCCATGGAATTCAAGGCCAACATGTCCATGATGGATGCCTTCTGCTGTGTCGATGGTAACTCCACATTATGGATATAGGGTATGAAGACCTCTTTGCCATTTATCAATGCATCTTGCACAATGGCTGTAGTTGATAGCTCTCCCGACGGCATTGACAGATAAACTCCAATCCTTTTTGCATTTTGGTACTCAGTAAGAGAGAACAGCTTGTTTGTGGCAATTCTAGCTATGGCGTGTCAGCACCTTTGATTATGAGTCAAAAACGATAAGGTCTCTGACATTGATTGACAATAGAATCTGCGGGGATCTTTTGTAGAACATCACGCATTTTTCTGCGAAGGTCTTTCTTAGCTGTTTGTAGACCAGCCATCATGTTGCTACGACGAAGTATTAAAACCCTTAGAGTGATGTAGGTTGGATATTGGATGTTGATGGTAGGTATACTAAGTACTAGAGTGGCATGTACGGAGTACTCCACGGCAAACTACTGGATCTGGCGATGTTTGTCAACTTTGTTTCGGAGTTCATATCAGTGTCACGGGCGTGGCTTGGCACATTGGCCTTTTTAGGGTGATTTGCGTGGTTGGATCGACGGTTGTGCCTGGAATATGCTCCACAGAAAGGGCCGTGGAATTGGACCCTTCCTGGGATTCCTTGATCCTTCCTTTGCTACAACTCCCAAATATCTGTTGATATCTGTCGCACGAATATATCGAAAAAATGCTTGCGGGATACCTTTCTCTTAGTCTACTTGCTACAGCCGTGAGCGCTGCAAGTATATCTGACCTCGTGGGCACTTGGTCAACGAAGTCCCGCAAGGTTGTTACAGGTCCGGTATGTTCTGCGTCGCTTTGTTTGTTTATCGAAGGCCATCATGTCAACACTGATTTCAAGCTAATATACACTTTCTTCCACTTTATAGGACTTTTATGATCCAATAAATGATAAGTTCCTTGAACCGGATCTCACTGGTATCTCCTACTCTTTCACAGACGATGGCCACTATGAAGAGGCGTACTATCGCGCCGTTGCCAACCGTCAGTATTCCACCGCGGACTAGATGCTTCGACTGTCTAACATGTCTGGATTATGTATAGCCGTGAATCCTTCCTGCCCTAAAGGCATTATGCAATGGCAACATGGAAAGTTCGTCTTGAACAGCGACGGATCCCTTCAATTGACTCCTATTGCCTCGGACGGTCGCCAGCTAGTTTCAGATCCTTGTTCCTCAAGTCTAGCAACATACACTAGATACAATCAGACAGAGACCTTCAATGTACGTTTCCACCAAACCTTTTAATGTTGCCCTCGCTAACCCCATCTCAGTCTTTCCAGGTTTCCAAAGATCCTTATCATGGCATTCAACGGCTGGACCTCAAGAGTTTTGATGATTCACCAATGCATCCAATGTACCTTGTGTATCAGCCGCCGCAGATGCTGCCAACAACGACCTTGAACCCTGTGTCCGAGACGGGAAAAAATAAACGTCATGTCGCCCGCGATACGGACCGGTCACCTGGAGTGAGAAACCTGATAACGAAGGAGGAGCTTACTAACCCTGACCGGTGGCTGTGGGTTGGGGTGTTCGCGACTGCCCTAGGTGGCATCACCTTATTTTACTCTTGAGAAGCGTGAAAGGTCCGATGCCTTTGTCAGTCGGCTTCCCAGTGGCTATGGAGTTCGGTAAACATGTCAAATGGTGGTGCTTGGGATGGTATATCAAGGGTTGGGATCACTGGAGTTTTTGCATACAATCTGGCGCTGGAGGAATTTCTTCGGTCCGGCGTTTAATCATCTAATATTATCGGTATACAGGCCAGGGTTATGTGCCCCTTCTGAATGTATGGCTTTACGCAGTTCATATAGATATAATGATTCTTCATGCATAAAGGCATAAAGTTTAGGTTTGATCTCTGGGCACGTTTCACCAAAAGGAACCTGACCTTAGCTCTATGCCACCATTGGAGTGAAGTAAATTTACAGTTATACAGTAGCTAATATACACACCACTCGGTTCATATCTTTAGAGGGCAGAAACCGCCTCTCTAGCAACCTTGGCGACTTCTGATCTCTCCGCTGCCTTGCCGTCTAAGGCACCTCCGGGGGCAAACAGTGATTTGAGTAATGTCCCAATCTCGACCTTCTGGCCAGCCTCCTTTAACCTTGAGATCTCCTGTGCCACAATCTGCTTGACATCATCTAGGCTCATTGTCTCCACCTGGCTTGCATACTCTTCCAAAATCGTGACGTTCTTTTCCTCAGACTCTTTCAGGTCGGGCCGGTTGTCGGCAGCGAATTGTTGCGCCGCGTCTTTTGCGCCTGTCATACGCTTCCGAATCAATGATAAAAGTTGCAAGTCGGTTTGGATCGGCGATGAGGTCTTCAAGGAGTTATTCGTTTCGGAAATGATGGCGCGCAGAACGTTCAACCTGCAATTTCATTGTCCATGTTAGCCGTCGCGCTTGGAAAGGTGTTTACGGCATGGGCCCTACGTACCTCGCTGTATCTTTGGCACGCATAGCAACCTTAAGGTCGGTCCTGATTTTGGCCATCAAAGGCGGCGGAGATGGGCTGCTAGTTGAATTCCATCGTACTGAGCGCAGGTACAGTCGAGCTGTGAGTCGTTGAGGGCGGAACATTATGTGATGAGATGGAAGAAACACAAAATTGAAGAAAAGCTATTTGACTAGAGAAGTGATTTCTTCGATTCTTAAAAAGTAGAATTATATTAGATATGTTCCGTGCAATTGAGGCGCAAGGAAAGTTATGAAAGGACCTTTGTCGGCGGAAAAGGCGGAGAGCTCCTTCGAGGTTAAGTCACGATCTTCGGGCCCGTGCACAATTTTGTTTCTCTCTTTCGAATTGTCATGATTTGATTGTTATTCGGTCTGAATAATCTTATCCGTCTCTGGAGGAACACCACACGCCTTCATTGATGATTTCTATCATCCGCCCTGTCTAGTTTGGACTTCTCCCCGGCTTCCTTTTTCTCTTTCCACCATTCTCATTACTATATTACTTTCCCTACACTGAACGAACTTACCTCGCCGGGGAGCGCGACGACTTCCCCCCCAAAGCCGCCTGTACATTGACTGCAAGCCAGCATCATGTCTTATCCAAACCTTCCTCCAGCTCTCACACCTCAGCGACCACTACCCGGCGCATTTTTCCAGACTCCTGGGCCGAACAATGCTCAGAGTGCGCCAGCTTTCTCCCCGAAGCCAGCTCCTGCTCCCGCAGAGCAACCCTCACCAGCTTCTCTACCAAAGCTTCCTCCAGCCGCATCAAAGTCGAAAAGTCAGACCTTAAGCACTGAAGAGCGCGCAGCTCGAACTGTTAATGATACGCTTATCCAAGAAGCCCGCTACCCTGACCTGGACAGCTACCTTTCTCGTAAGTAAACACTGGCTTTGAGCCACATAGAGCATGGTTGACCCCTTGTGCAGAAGGCTTCTCGTCCGATTATGATATCCCGGTTTCCCCATCATGGGCTCCTTTCCAGAAAGTGAAGATGTATAACATTCCAGATCAGATCTTTGATCAGTATAACCGAGCGCAGGTCTCTACGAGCATGGGTCTTTTCGCAGAGTTGAATCATGCATGGGTTGCCATTGACAACGCGCTCTACATTTGGGACTATACACACCCGAATCCCCAGCTGGTGGGTTTCGAAGACCAACCAAACAGCATTAATGCGGTTAAATTGGCCAAACCTCGCCCTGGGGTGTTCTTGCCTTCGATCACACATTTGCTCGTCGTATCAACAACGGCAGACGTCATCCTTCTTGGCATGGGCTGTGAGACGACCGCTACAGGTGCACGCCAGGTGACATTGTATCAAACGGGTATGTCGACGTCAATTCGTGGCTTGGACATCCACGTTATCGCGTCGTCGGACGCCACCGGCCGTATATTCTTCGGTGGTTCTTCCGACAATGACGTGTATGAGCTCACGTATCAACAAGAGGAGAAATGGTTTCAAGGACGTTGCTCAAAGGTCAACCATACTAGCTCGCGCTTGGGGGCCCTGACCCCCAGCTTAAGCTTCTCGAGCTTCACGCACAAGATGTTCGAAAATGTAGAGCAGATGGAGATTGATGACAGCAGAAGGTTGCTCTATACACTGTCTTCCTCGTCCACAATCAGAGTATTCCACATGAAGCCCGACGGTACCCTTGCTTTAGCGATCACTAAGCCTGCTATGGACATTTATGCCAATATCGGGCATATAATTGCATCGAATGAGACTCTGAATCCCAAGGTCCCGATCGTTTCCATCAGTCCTATTCCAGTTGCAGAGGCGTCCAGATATCATTTGATGGCTACCACTGCTACTGGCTACAGGATCTACTTGAGTGCTACTGGTTCATATAGCTGGTCACCATCACCCAACGGTACCAATGCGCCTACGAGCATGCAGGCTCACCATGTTAAAACGCCTCCTTTCGATGGCGGCTCCGCCAGTCCAATGGGCCCGGCTTTCCAGGGTCAGGGCCGTTTCCAGCCGTCAGTAGCAAAGGTTCCAATCCATTCCCTTGACCCTACCAGGTTCACTGTCCGATACCCCCCTGGTTACTTCTTTTGTTTCACATGCAAGGACCCAACGCAGAAGACGGATACTCTCTTCGTCTCTTCCCCTGATTCTGGACGTGTTGCTCGTTCCCAAGAAAATGTCATTCCTGGCAATGCTGGCGAGACAGCTATCTGGCTTTCTCTGGGTAGCAGGGCGGAAGATGTTGGTCTTTGCTCCCCATCTACAGCAGCCTCAGCCACTCCCGGTGGCTTTGGTAACGAGCTTGCGGTTCAATTTGACAACCCGGCCGCTGAAATCGCCATCTTGACTAACACTGGCATCCATATTATTCGTCGCCGACGTCTTGTTGACATGTTTGCGGCCTTAGTCCGCGGCGGTGGTGACGGCGATGAAGGCCTAGAAGGTGAAGTGAAGAACTTTATTCGTACGTATGGTCGCAGTGAGACACTTGCAACTGCTCTCGCGGTCGCCTGCGGCCAAGGCGTAGAGATTTCTGTAGACTCACGCCTGACCCAGATTAATGACCCCCATGTGCTCGAATTTGCGCGCAAGGTCTTCATCGAGTATGGAGGCAGGCCCACAATGAATGAAAATGCAGTAGCTGACAACTCTACGCCGGCGATCGATTCTGTTGTTCCGTCGCCCCGGCATGCGGGCATTGCTCTTTACATGTCTAGACTGCTACGTACCATCTGGAGGAAAGAAATTGCTAAAGTTGGGCCCTCCCCCGGCGGGGCACAAACCATTTTACCTTCTGTACCATCCGCAAAGTTGCAAACTATCCAACGAGATCTATCGGCGTTGCAGGAGTTCTTCAAAGCTAACAAGAGCTTTATCGAGGGACTAAGTGGTCCAGAGGCCCTGGCACGTGTGTCAACCAAGCAAGAAGAAACTGCGCTTCAAGCGGAGCATCGTGCCCTGCATTCTCTTGTTCAACTTGTATCCCACACCATTGAAGGCATTTCATTCATTCTGGTTCTGTTTGATGAGCGGGTCGACGAGATTGTTGCCACCTTGCCAGATGACTCAAAGCAACGATTTATGAAGCTTACCTTCGAGGAGCTCTTCAGCACCAGCAAGGGTCACGATATCGCGAAGGAACTGGTCAAGGGAATTGTGAACCGAAACATCGCAAAAGGATCCAATGTGGAGACGGTTGCTGACGCTTTGCGGCGGCGGTGCGGCAGTTTTTGCAGCGCTGAGGATGTGGTTATCTTCAAGGCTCAAGAACTACTCAAGAGAGCGACTGAAGCTGGATCCAACTCTGAACTAGGCCGCAATTTGCTCAATGAAAGTCTTCACCTATTCCAGCAGGTTTCCGAGAGCTTGCCGATGGATTACCTGGTTTCTGCAATTGAAAACTTCATTTTTAATCAATTCTTCGCTGGTATGCACTGAATAATCTCTGGCTAAAACAGCGCTAATCCAGCCACAGGCGCTATCCAGCTTGCACTCAATGTTGCCGCACGTTCAGACAAAGCTAACATGGCGCTTTCGTGGATTGTCGATGGTCGTCCGGAGAATGTGAGTCAATTGATTTGGTCAAAATAATTAGATGCTGATGTGTTGGATAGGATTCTCGGAGTGACTACTTCTATTTCAGAAAACAGTGTTATGATCTCATCTTCAAGGTTATCATTGCTGTGGATAACCTTGCAGCTCACGACCCTGGTGTTGTTGACGGACAACTCACTGTCATTGCCAAGCGCAAGAACGAAGCCTATGGGGTTATCTCTGACTCTATTGATGAGGTGTTTTTGACCAGCTTGTATGACTGGTACTTAGAGCAGGGCTGGAGTGAGCGCTTGCTTCACGCAAACTCCGCATTTGTGGTTACCTATCTTCAGCGGAAGTCGACGGACGATATTGCGCATGCGGACCTCCTATGGAGGTACTATGCTCAGTCAGAGCGCTTTTTCGAAGCTGCCAAGGTTCAATTCCATCTTGCACAGAGCGCCTTTACTCTCCCTCTTGGTCGCAGAATCGAGTATTTGGGCCGTGCCAGGGCCAACGCTTCAACATTCACGCCGGATGTTGGACGGCAGCCCCGACAGCGCTTGTTGCAGGATATCTCGAACCTAATTGACCTTGCAAACATTCAGGATGACCTTCTGCAGCGCCTGAAAGATGATAAGCGCTTAACTTCAGAACGCAGGACGCAGGTTCTTGCAGATGTTGACGGCCCCATCATGGATATTAGCACGGTAGGCCAACCCAACCACGTTAATTAAATCCACCTCCACTGACATGTTATAGTTGTTCAACCAATATGCCGATCCTGCAAGCTACTACGATATTTGCTTGCAAATATTCTACTTAGCTGATCACAGGAACCCAACAGATATCCGTTCCACGTGGCAGCACCTGCTACAAGATCTGCACGATGAGACCGTCGAGAATGGAGAGCCTCAGCCATATGAAGCTGTAATTGATAAGGTGCGCAGCTTGGGAAGCCGGTTGCGCATGTCCGAGATAATATTCCCGATCCCCACTCTTTTGCCCATGCTTGAGCGCTATGCCCTGGAACACCAGCGCGGTGTTGGACCAGCAACATGGGTTGTCGATCTATTCCTCGACCTCGGAGTCGCTCACGAAACCCTCTACACTGTCCTCGAATCCATGTACTACACAGATGAGGCACCCTTCCACGGCACAAACCGGAAATACATAGCTAAGGACCTCCTCTATCTTATCGAGCACTGGTTCCACGATACCGTCCGCTTGGGCGGAACCGTCTTTGGCAGCGACGTGGTTGCGGAACGCATCACGGAGACGCTGCTTTTGCTACAGCAGGGCGGCAGCACCCCCCCGGAACAATTGCAATTGGCCAATGAGCTGCGGACACGGGTTGAAGATATACTGCGGTAATTAATGGATGCAATTATGTGGCGCAACTAAAAAGAATTTATATCATTATTGTCAATTTACGTGCGTTGATTCCATTGTACTAGCTAGCCATTTAAAGTTCATCGTTGTATGTTGTTGGTCGGTTCATATCATAGGTTTTGGCTGTGCAGGGTAGGCAGGCAGGTATATGTCCTCATTAGATCATTCATTCAATATATTTAAGAATATTGAGTGTTTTTGTATGTAAAAGATGTAAGAAAATACTACAATCAAGTAGAGTCTCGCCTTATACTATCAGATATAGTATCTTAAACCCGGGTTCAAAATAGGAGAAGCATGCTAACAACCAATATCAAAGTAGATCAAATACCAATGTCTATAAGCCAGTTCTCGCGAGAGATTAACAAGTCTAAACTACCAAATTCCAAACCCAAAAACCAAATCCAACCGTCTATCGCGCGAACAAGAATAGGTATCCCAGGCAAGAGAAAGAAAAGAAAACAAGAATTATAAGTTGTAGGCCCCGCACGCATGCATATGCAGCGAAGAAAAGAAGAGAAAAAAAAGAAAAGAAAAGAAAAAAAAAAAAAAACC